CATTTTCACACGCAGGTGTATACCAGAGTTAAAATTTTTTCGCTTGAGTGTATTTCAGAGTTAAACTTTCACGAGAGTGAAAATTCTATTTCCGGAAATTTTCATTTTTTTTCAAAATGCTTTCAGTTTTTGTACACAGGTTCAGTTCCTGAGCCCATTATGTGCCTCTGTAACCCTTTCCACTACCGCCCACAAGATGGGTATGGGGTGCATAATAAATGAACTAAATTTTGTACACTGTTCGTTTCTCTATGGATGTTGGAGAGGGAGGGAGGGGTGGATAAGATATACTGTACTGGGAGAGGTAATCTATAAGGAATTACAAATGAATTCAAACGACAATAGATCCCAACTATTCTGTCAGTTTATATGCTGTTATATACGGCACAACGCAGTCACAACGTTTGCAATCATTACGTCAACCCCGCGTCGTAATAACGTCGAAATAATAAATCCCAGTGGGCGTTGGTTGGTTGGAACCAACGCCACTCTTATCCAAGAGTGGCGTTGGTTCGACGTTGAATCGCCGTTGAATTAACGTTGGTCTTGAGTAGTGAGCTTGAATGATCTATTGCTGGGTCTTGGTATAATGTGTGTGTGTGTGTGTAGATCAGCGCTGACCATATAATAATTTAGAAATATATTTACTCAAATATGGTGGCGAAAATTCCATGAAATATTCTCAAATGGGCTGTTACAGTACCATTGTACTGAAGCTTACAGTAACACTAAGAGTGAGGAGAATGACTTTCTCAGATCGCTACTCGAAAGACATTGCAATTAAACCTAATATTAAAAAAAAATGTTGTTCTCTTCATCCTTATTGAACTACTAATTGGCAGTGAACTAGCTGCTAATTGGCTCACAGATCATTATAGCCACTATCATACCTAGGTCTCGTTCCTTTCCTATTTTTTTTACCAACTCTGTGAAGTTTGTCATGCAGGTTCCTATCCAGTAAAGTTTACAACATATATTGCTGTTTGTACATGAATTGGCATTAAAATTCATCTGATATTCGTCAGGCCAATTAAGGCTAATTGGAGCAGAGTGGGGAATAGGTAGGAAGGTAGACAGGTACGTGAATACATACGTAGGTATACAGAGAGAGATGTCAATAGGGGGAAAGGAAGGTTAGCAGTTGAAAGAGTGAAGAGCAGCATATTGTGTGATCAAATGCAGACTTGAAAAATAGTTGGAAAAAAAATTAAACAGTTATGCAAATAATTATATATATATATATATATATATATATATATATATATATATATATATATATATATATATATATATATATATATATATATATATATATATATATAACCCACAGCCTCAAAGAAGGGGACACAGAGCATTCAGAGAAAAAACGTGCCATTTAACTCTGAATACATATGAGTGTTCGCTTCTCCACCACCCCTTTTATATATATATATATATATATATATATATATATATATATATATATATATATATATATATATATATATATATATATATATATATATATATATATATATAGATATATATATAAAGAGAGAGAGAGAGAGAGATGGACATAAGAAATGAACTGATAAGGAAGGAAAAGAACTGATGAAATTGGCCCATTAAACTATTAAATTCCCCTCACATTGATTGTCGGAATGGGTGTGGCAGGAACCAGACCTATACAGCAAAGTGTGAGCCGCCGCTTGTGACCAAGTTGTGTGTGTGTATATATCTTATACTATAGATACACACATATAAACATACGTATATATATACATATGCACTTCTTACACACACACGTATATACATATATATGTATATAATAAGAGCATCTGTACTGTGGGGACAGATATCAACGTAAATATTAAATTAATGTATTCAGATGATTTGTTGTATACTACGAGCCTCAGACCCCGGAAGTCCTAACATGTGACTATCAAAGCAAATCACCAACAAAGCTGGACTTGGGTCAGAGATCACAGCTCCCCTACCGGAGGCAGCCACTGCCAACCAGCCGAGTGCAGTGGACAACAATTCTCACAACTCCTGTTGCCTCCTCACTGGCACTGGAGGCCTGGCAATCCATTTATGGCACTCGCTTGGAGCGGAGGCCCCCCCTTAGCTGTAACTTTGGACCCAATTCTCGCTGGTACTGCCCTCGGGCAGAGGGTCCAGATCGCCCTAATACCCCGCTTGTACAACATCAGTAGAGAGTGGTAGATTGGTTAGTTTTCGTGCAATGTGCAACGATCCCTTGTGTCTGGGGGGCGGGGCCCCCAAGTTGTGTCATAGTCTATTTGAAGCTTTCGGGTTGCATTGCTTGATTGTTTAATTGCATATATATCGTATTGCATCAACATTCTCGTGTATCTTTCCTAGCACGTGTTGGGCGCGTTTCTCGTGTTATGGAGGTTATGTCCGGTTATCAAAGTGTTGGTGGGATTAAGGGCTGACCTTTGTTGTTCTGTCCAGACTTTTACATACAGTGGTGGTGCTTAACACCTTTGGTGCAACTGAGAAACTTTGTGTGTGTGTGTGTGTGTGTGTGTGTGTGTGTGTGTGTGTGTGTGTGTGTGTGTGTGTGTGTGTGTGTGTGTGTGTGTGTGTGTGTGTGTGTGTGTAATTAGCTAAGTGTAATTACAGGATGAGAGCTACGCTCGTGGTGTCCCGTCTTCCCAGCACTCTTTGTCATATAACGGTTTATATGACGGAAACTACTGACGGTTTTGGCCTCCACCACCTTCTCAGTTAACTTGTTCCAACCGTCTACCACTCTGTTTGCGAAAGTGAATAGGTGTGTGTGTGTGTGTGTGTGTGTGTGTGTGTGTGTGTGTGTGTGTGTGTGTGTGTGTGTGTGTGTGTGTGTGTGTGTGTAATTTGTGCTTGCAGGATCCAGTTGTTAGCTCTTGGACCCCGTCTTTCTAACCGTCGGTTGTCTAATGTACTGATTCCGGACTTATTTATCTTATGGCATATATATATATACTACATATATTTCTTCCTAACACACTCACCCCCAGGATGCAGCCACTATCCAATATATAATTTCCAGGTACCTATTTACTGCTAAGTGAACAGAAGCATCACGTGAAAGAAACTCTTTTCATTTTTTCTGCCTAGTCCGTGAATCGAACCCGGACTCATAGAACTACGACTAACGAACGCTGTTCACTCGATAGCAGCGACCTGTGTGTGTGTTAGATAAGGATTTTCGTATTTAATAATACATCTTCAGAAGGCTTCATCCTTCTGATGTATTCAGAAGGACACATCCTTCTTCTGACAGTCGGGGATTGAACACCGACCTGCAAAATGCGAGACCGTCCTTCTACCGTGTAGTCTAGGTGATTGGTTAGCCCCTAGCAGCGCAGGTTCGAATCCTGATAGGGGTCATAGTTATCACTCACCTATTTTATAGCTAGGGCACCATTGTGTCTGACCAGTAATATGTTGGGTAACGGAATGAACAGAATCAATCTTAGCTAGGGAGATTAAAATAATCTATTGTGATAGGCTTCCTGTCGTCAATAATGGGAAATCATTTGAAAAATTATAAGTTTTCCTCAATACAGAGGTCTGCACATTAGATTTAGGTTAGTTGAGGCTCAAATAACGTCAGCGGAGGTCATTTTCTGTGATACTGAAAGATGCGTTTTCTGTTTCAGATCAAGAATTCGAGGACTTCGAGCTAGCGCCATTGAGATACCGCCCAGAAGGACTCGAACAATTGAGCGAAGCAACAAGATTCACCAAAGAGGAGCTGCAATTTATGTAAGTCTGAGAGGTCTAAGCCAAGGAACAATTTTAATATTTAACATTTATCGTTTCTCTGCGTAATGGGTATTGCAATTTAGCTTCTCCAGGTGAATACCTCAACTTGTTTAGCTTTATATTTCAGATTTGAATGTTCTAAATCGGTGTTTATTGGTAGGAGTTGGATCCTTATTAATTGAGGCTGACTTGGATTAGTGTTTTTCTTAGATTAGTGTATTAGGCTCCGAGTTCACTTAATTCTCGCGGCAGGAGAAAGAGAGACATTTAGACACGTTTCCTTTCATCTAATGCATCTTTTAACCTTGCAATGGATGGATACCTCGGAGTTAGGTAACTATTATGACTTGCAACTAAATAATGGTCCGCTGTAATAGTGATCTTGAGAATTTCCGAAATATGTCAATCAACACTGACTTAAGGAGTCACCCTCTGAGCCTTTTCAGTCAATATGTTTCATTGACTAATCAAAAATATTACTTTTCAGTTTCTTCGCTCTAAACAAATAAACGTTTTTATGTTTTCATTCATACTTACCCAGCATCTAATTATTCATACTTACTCTACATCTATTTTAATCGAAAATACTGAACATGTATATATCTTTACGCTTGTATATCCATGTTTTTTATATTCACTTTGAATCATGCAACTCACGCAACGGTAAACAGCAGTCGTGATGACTTTTCGGTCCGGCTTGGACCCTTATGTGACGACTTTTCGGTCCAGCCTGGACCCTTATGTGACGACTTTTCGGTCCGGCCTGGACCCTTATCAAGTCACAACTGTTCCGACTTGTTAATTTAAGCGTCCTCGACGGCCCGAAACATAATTTCATATATTAAGGGGTGACTTAATTAATCCCTGCACGCCTTATTGTCAACCATTGTTAACCTGGACGCTGACTTGCAGGTATCGGGGGTTCAAGCAGGAGTGTCCGACGGGCGTCATTTCAGAAGAAACCTTCAAGGAGATCTATGGCAAATTCTTCCCCCTGGGAGGCCAGCCAGACGACGGCTCCGGAAGAAGTAAGCTTCATTCATAGGGTCTCTTAAAGGCTAATTATGTTCCTTGATCTCGAGACGTTTTCATGAGGGAGCTTTGATGTATACTGGGAAATGATAAGATATTATATTTAAGGCTTGTGGGTTTTTTATTGCATGTTGTGATATGATAATTAATGAGTTTATTAAGAGAATATTTAGATATGGTTTGGTCTCATATTGAGAGCTTGGTATACTTACTCCCACACTAAACTGCCTCCCACCACAAAACTCCACACTCCAAAACACACACATCTCTACGCCCATCCTAATACACCTCTACAATCACCCCACACCTACACACCCTTACACCCAACCCAGACCTAGACACCCCTTCATCCTCCCCACACCTATATACTCCTACACCCACCCCACACCTACACACCCCTACATCCACCCCACACCTACACACCCCTACACCCATCCCACATTTACACATTCCTACTTACACACCAGTATTAAAGCACGTATGAACAATAAAGGTAATATCCACAAGTATAAACATTTATCACAATATTTAACAAAAGTGAAACTGGCGAAAATTCTATACCGGATTGAAATGAAATTTCAGGTATAATAATTTTCGAACAAATATACTAAGAAAAGGAAGATATATCTACACAAGCATTAAAATATAATTTAGAAAGAAGTTGACCAAACCACACACTAGAAAGTGAAGGGACGACGACGTTTCGGTCCGTCCTGGACCATTCTCAAGTCGATTGTGAAGACTGGTCCAGGACGGACCGAAACGTCATCGTCCCTTCACTTTCTAGTGTGTGCTCTGGTCAACATACTTCAGCCACTTTATTGTGACTCCTCGTCAGCTTTTAGAAAGAAACTTGTCTCCAGACACGGTTATGCATACGTTCTCCATGTCCACAGACACGCTCATATATATATATATACCCCGTCCGTATCCATAGACACGGTCATATATACCCCGTCCGTATCCATAGACACGGTCATATATACCCCGTCCGTATCCATAGACACGGTCATATATACCCCGTCCGTATCCACAGACACGGTCATATATACCCCGTCCGTATCCACAGACACGGTCATATATAACCAGTCCGTATCCACAGACACGGTCATATATAACCCGTCCGTATCCATAGACACGGTCATATATACCCCGTCCGTATCCACAGACACGGTCATATATACCCCGTCCGTATCCATAGACACGGTCATATATACCCCGTCCGTATCCACAGACACGGTCATATATAACCCGTCCGTATCCATAGACACGGTCATATATATACCCCGTCCGTATCCACAGACACGGTCATATATACCCCGTCCGTATCCATAGACACGGTCATATATACCCCGTCCGTATCCACAGACACGGTCATATATAACCCGTCCGTATCCATAGACACGGTCATATATACCCCGTCCGTATCCATAGACACGGTCATATATATACCCCGTCCGTATCCATAGACACGGTCATATATATACCCCGTCCGTATCCACAGACACGGTCATATATAACCCGTCCGTATCCATAGACACGGTCATATATACCCCGTCCGTATCCATAGACACGGTCATATATATACCCCGTCCGTATCCACAGACACGGTCATATATATACCCCGTCCGTATCCATAGACACGGTCATATATATACCCCGTCCGTGTCCACAGACTCAGCCATGTACGCCCACTATGTGTTCGGAACGATGGACCAGGACGGGTCCGGCTCCATCACCTTCGGGGACTTCATCATGGGTCTGTCGGTGTTGCTGAAGGGAACGCTACAGGAGCGAGTCAACTGGATCTTCAAGTGAGCCTCTTCCCTTTTTTTTCCATCCATGAATTTAGGTCTTGTAAATATATTTTGTTTCAGTTCATTATGTCTTGAGACTCGACCCTAATTGTTGCGTCATTCTACTGCTTTGTTGCGTCATCCTACTGCCTTGTTACGTCATTCTACTTCAGTAATTGTTTGTTGATCTACAAGATTCCTTCCTCTTACTTTCTCCCACAGCCTCTACGACATCAATAACGACGGGTACATCACCAAGGAGGAGCTGATTGACATCGTGACGTCCATCTATGACCTCTTGGGTGACCAGGGTAATCCCAGCATTGACGACGGTACGGCCATTGACCACGTGGACAAGGTCTTTGAGGTGCGTTTAGTAGGAGCTAAAACCTATTAGGTTAGGTTAGGTTCAGTCAGTTAAGGTTAGAATAGGTTGGTATGGGTTGAGTTAGGTTTAAGTTAGAATATGCTGGGTTGGGTTAGGAATAGAACATATTGGGTTGGGTTAGGTTTGTTTATAGAACACCGATGACGTAGAGAGATACACCATTGTTTCGAGTCTTGGACCCTACTCAGTACGTTCCTGTACAACAGTGGTTAGTGTATACAGAGTCGGCTCACACCCGAAAAGTCCTGGGTTCGATCCCCGTGGTACGTTTTCTTTGATTTGATGCCTCTGTATACCTAGCAGTAAATAGGTACCAAAAAGTTAGGCCTCTGTTGTGGGTTGCATTGCAGGAAAGGTTTGAGGTATGCTAAAGGGTCCAAATCATATATACATATACATATATATATATATATTTATATATATATATATATATATATATATATATATATATATATATATATATATATATATATATATATCACTCAATGACAATGGGATAGACATGCTCACAACATACAAAATACTCAGTGAAAATCAGGGGGAATGTTTTCATTAGTGAAAACATGAACAACGAGACACACGTGGACACTAAATGCCCGAATGAGCCACAGGCTTGTTTGAAAGAACATTTTAGTGTCAAAGCAGATAGTGAAATGAACTCCGAGGCGAAGTGGTGAGGGCAGACTCTATTTATTGGCAAATGTATAAACATGACAGACCCCACCAACGGGTTCAGGAACCTGTAGGTTACACACACGTACTCAAAACAGTTCGGGGAGTCAGTACATTGGACAGTTAGAAAAGTTAAAAAAAAGGCGGGGTCCAGGAGCTAACAGCTCGATCCTAGAGGCATAAATAATAAGTACACGAATCGTAAACACACACACACACACACACACACACACACACACACACACACACACACACACACACACACACACACACACACACACACACACACACACTCACACACTCACACACACTCACACACACACACACACACTCACACACACACACACACACACACACACACACACACACAGTGTTGGTGTGTAGTGGTGGTGGGACAGGAGTCATTGCTGTAAACAACCGATAGCTAGAAAGGCGGGATCCAAGAGTCAATGCTCGATCCTGCAAGCACATATAGGTGAGTACATATTGGTGAGTACACACACACACACACACACACACACTCACACACTCACACTCACACACACACACACACACACACACACACACACACACACACACACACACACACACACACACACACACACACACACACGCTGCTTCACATGACTGTTGACTAATGAGTATCTTTCTCCTTGCAGAAGCTGGACCTGAACAAGGACGGAGTGGTCACTATGGATGAGTTCATGGAATACTGCTCCAAGGTTGTGGTGGTGTGTCATGTTGGTGGCGAGACTGGTGGTGGTGGTGTAGTTGTTGTTGTAGTGGTGGTGGTGTTGGTATGGTAGTGGTGGTGGTGTTGTGTAGTGGTAGGACGTGGTGTTGGTGTGGTGGTGGTGGTGTGGTGTTGGTGTGGTGGTGGTGGTGTGGTGTTGGTGTGGTGGATTTGGTGTAGTGTTGGTGTGAGTGGTGGTGTTGGTAAAGTGTTGGTGTAGTGGTGGTGTTAGTGTAGTGGTGGTGTTGGAGTGAGTGGTGGTTTTGGTGTGAGTGGTGGTGTTGGGGAAGTGTTGGTGTAGTGGTGGTGTTGGTGTAGTGTTGGTGTGAATGGTGGTGTTGCTGTGAGCGGTGGTGTTGATGTGAGTGATGGTGTTGGTGTGAGTGGTGGTGTTGGTGTAGTGTTAGTGTGAGTGGTAGTGTTGGTGAAGTGTTGGTGTGAGTGGTGGTGTTGGTGTAGTGTTGGTGTGAGTGGTAGTGTTGGTGAAGTGTTAGTGTGAGTGGTAGTGTTGGTGTAGTGTTAGTGTGAGTGGTAGTGTTGGTGAAGTGTTGGTGTGAGTGGTAGTGTTGGTGTAGTGTTGGTGTGAGTGGTAGTGTTGGTGTAGTGTTAGTGTGAGTGGTAGTGTTGGTGTAGTGTGAGTGGTAGTGTTGGTGAAGTGTTGGTGTGAGTGGTGGTGTTGGTGTAGTGTTAGTGTGAGTGGTAGTGTTGGTGTAGTGTGAGTGGTGGTGTTGGTGAAGTGTTGGTGTGAGTGGTAGTGTTGGTGTAGTGTTGGTGTGAGTGGTAGTGTTGGTGTAGTGTTGGTGTGAGTGGTAGTGTTGGTGTAGTGTTAGTGTGAGTGGTAGTGTTGGTGTAGTGTTGGTGTGAGTGGTAGTGTTGGTGTAGTGTGAGTGGTAGTGTTGGTGAAGTGTTGGTGTGAGTGGTAGTGTTGGTGAAGTGTTGGTGTGAGTGGTGGTGTTGGTGTAGTGTTGGTGTGAGTGGTAGTGTTGGTGAAGTGTTGGTGTGAGTGGTGGTGTTGGTGAAGTGTTGGTGTGAGTGGTGGTGTTGGTGAAGTGTTGGTGTGAGTGGTGGTGTTGGTGAAGTGTTGATGTGAGTGGTGGTGTTGGTGAAGTGTTGGTGTGAGTGGTAGTGTTGGTGTAGTGTGAGTGGTAGTGTTGGTGAAGTGTTGGTGTGAGTGGTGGTGTTGGTGAAGTGTTGGTGTGAGTGGTGGTGTTGGTGAAGTGTTGGTGTGAGTGGTAGTGTTGGTGTAGTGTGAGTGGTAGTGTTGGTGTAGTGTTGGTGTGAGTGGTGGTGTTGGTGAAGTGTTGGTGTGAGTGGTAGTGTTGGTGAAGTGTTGGTGTGAGTGGTGGTGTTGGTGAAGTGTTGGTGTGAGTGGTAGTGTTGGTGTAGTGTGAGTGGTAGTGTTGGTGTAGTGTTGGTGTGAGTGGTGGTGTTGGTGTAGTGTTGGTGTGAGTGGTGGTGTTGGTGAAGTGTTGGTGTGAGTGGTGGTGTTGGTGAAGTGTTGGTGTGAGTGGTAGTGTTGGTGTAGTGTGAGTGGTAGTGTTGGTGAAGTGTTGGTGTGAGTGGTGGTGTTGGTGAAGTGTTGGTGTGAGTGGTGGTGTTGGTGAAGTGTTGGTGTGAGTGGTAGTGTTGGTGTAGTGTGAGTGGTAGTGTTGGTGTAGTGTTGGTGTGAGTGGTAGTGTTGGTGTAGTGTTGGTGTGAGTGGTAGTGTTGGTGAAGTGTTGGTGTGAGTGGTAGTGTTGGTGTAGTGTGAGTGTGAGTGGTAGTGTTGGTGAAGTGTTGGTGTGAGTGGTAGTGTTGGTGTAGTGTTAGTGTGAGTGGTAGTGTTGGTGTAGTGTTAGTGTGAGTGGTAGTGTTGGTGAAGTGTTGGTGTGAGTGGTAGTGTTGGTGTAGTGTTGGTGTGAGTGGTAGTGTTGGTGTAGTGTTGGTGTTGGTGTAGTGTTGGTGTGAGTGGTAGTGTTGGTGAAGTGTTGGTGTGAGTGGTAGTGTTGGTGTAGTGTTGGTGTGAGTGGTAGTGTTGGTGTAGTGTTGGTGTTGGTGTAGTGTTGGTGTAGTGTTGGTGTGAGTGGTAGTGTTGGTGTAGTGTTGGTGTTGGTGTAGTGTTAGTGTGAGTGGTAGTGTTGGTGAAGTGTTGGTGTGAGTGGTAGTGTTGGTGTAGTGTTGGTGTGAGTGGTAGTGTTGGTGTAGTGTTGGTGTTGGTGTAGTGTTGGTGTGAGTGGTAGTGTTGGTGAAGTGTTGGTGTGAGTGGTAGTGTTGGTGTAGTGTTGGTGTGAGTGGTAGTGTTGGTGTAGTGTTGGTGTTGGTGTAGTGTTGGTGTAGTGTTGGTGTGAGTGGTAGTGTTGGTGTAGTGTTGGTGTTGGTGTAGTGTTGGTGTGAGTGGTAGTGTTGGTGAAGTGTTGGTGTGAGTGGTAGTGTTGGTGTAGTGTTGGTGTTGGTGTAGTGTTGGTGTGAGTGGTAGTGTTGGTGAAGTGTTGGTGTGAGTGGTGGTGTTGGTGTAGTGTTGGTGTTGGTGTAGTGTTGGTGTGAGTGGTAGTGTTGGTGAAGTGTTGGTGTGAGTGGTGGTGTTGGTGAAGTGTTGGTGTTGGTGTAGTGTTGGTGTGAGTGGTAGTGTTGGTGAAGTGTTGGTGTGAGTGGTGGTGTTGGTGTAGTGTTGGTGTGAGTGGTGGTGTTGGTAGCTGCAAAAATGCATACAAATCAACTTAAAAAAATCCATGAAGATCAATTCCTCATAAATTGTCCTGAATTTAAAATCTGACATAAATTAATGAAAGAGAGGAACACTAGTAAACTTTAACATCAACTATGTAACGCGAGGCTTCACAATGTTCCCAGTTACTCTCTAACGCGAGGCTTCACAATGTTCCCAGTTACTCTCTAACGCGAGGCTTCACAATGTTCCCAGTTACTCTCTAACGCGAGGCTTCACAATGTTCCCAGTTACTCTCTAGTATAAACGTTCCTTATCTAGAAAACATTGATGGTGAGATATGTAATATTTTTCTTTTACTTTTAATAGATATAAAAAAAAACTGCACAGTAATCCTCATTAGCATCGATTCACAGATTTTCATTTTAAAAATAATAATACTATAGTTAGAAGTAACAGGTGTAGTAGTAGTAGTGGTAGTGATAGCAGTAGTAATAGTTGTAGTTGAGCATTAGTATAGTATACTAGTGTGCTCAATACTAGTGCTCTATACTGTTACTGTTACTAGTAACAGTAACAGCACTGTATTCTAGCAACCCTTTTCCCTACAGTTTTCTGTATCGCCACTTCTGGGTGTAGGGTAACTCCTTGCCATTCTTGCAGAACGAGAATGTCATCCAATCTATGAACATCTTCGACGAGATCTAGTGTCACGTCATCTGGGCAGTGACGGCAACAGCGCCCTGACGTCACCTAATGTTTACCTACGTCACCAGTGTGCCTGGTGACACAATAGATGTCAACAGTCCTGGAGAGTCATGGCAAATGCGCTACGAGACATGCATTCTCTCTACTGCGACCTCCGTCGATGGCCAAAGTCTATTCGCTAATCAGTTTAGTGGCTGGTGACTTCAAGTTGATTGAAGCGGAAGAATGTAAACCTTAGCCAATGCTAAAGTCGGGGAAATAAGGAGTTGGCGAATGCTGAAATCCACCAAATTTAATGCTCGGCGACGATGAAGCCAAGGTGTTAACAAATCTGTGGGAGTTGGATTCGTCGGTTGTGTAATGGATTTGTAGGTCCAGCCGACACGTGTGTGTACCCGAAATCACCTCAAGATAACCTCAAGATAACCACCAGCAGGCCTTGGCTACCCGGACCCTGGAAGGTGATGACCAAGTTCACTCATTTGCCCTCCTCGACGGTTCTTCAAGTCGACGAGTGTCAAAAATGCTGAATGTTGAAGTCGATAATTATCATGAAACTCCTGAAAACTGCCTTGTCCCCCCCCCCCCAATACCGAAATGAATTATTGTCGTGGGTCGATTAAAGTCGACTACAATTCCATTAGTAATTTGGGAGTCAACGACTGACTGCCTAAAGTGTCGAGTAAGATCCTGGAATTGAACAATCCAGTGAATTCAACTTGAACAAGCGTTGTCTCAGTGTGGCTGAGTGCATCTGATCGCATATATCCC